ATCGCTCCCACAGCAAGATTTCCTCTTCCCTGCCTTCCGCAGAAGTTTCCAAGGACCACGTCCTTGTTCCTCTTACCTCTCCTCGCCCTGCCTGCGTAACGCTATCCGCTAACAGACTATATCCTGCCATTAGTGAATAACCTCACCATCTCTAGACCTTTCCTGTCCAAAGAAAATCCCTAGCCCACATTTCCAGTATCTCCTGTAGATAACTAGCCATCGGTTCAACTCAGCGTGGTGAAAGGCAAAGTTCTCCCTATCTTTAACTTCCTTTTTTTTTTTTTAAAGATATTTCCTGTTTGATATACGTGCATTTGGTTTCTCCAGCTGCCTTATTATGCTTTGCCAATTAATCTTCACTGTGACTCTACATTTTATCTAAACTGCCACCAGTATCTTTTCCTGTAAAAGTTTGTGTACAAAATACACCATTTTCGGCTTTGACGTTTATTATAAAGAGTCTGTAGTACATCATAAAAATCAATGCATCTCAAATGAGTGCTACAGTTGGCTTTACAAAGGCTCGCTCCCTTTTTGCAGTCTCGCAGAAATTCAGAGGCCCTGAAGCTTGCTGAAAATACCAAACAAAAACAATATTTAGTTTTTAAAAAGCTACTTCACAATAAATAACATATTGTTCTATTTCTTGATTTATGAGAGACTTGAAAATGTTTTAAACTCTTTAAAGACCTAAAGCATCTCATGGTATGACATTTTCTATATTCAAGTAAAGGTTACATGCGTCAACGTATTGCAATTTCCTTGGGAGGGAGTTCCTGTTTGAGAAGAACATGGCTTCTGCAACAAGGCATGAAACCGAATCAGACAAGGTAAGTTTGCACTTTTCCCATTGGGTTCTACCATCATTATTTCAAACAGGCATCACAATTTCCATCACAGTTGTAAGCCCTTTGATACTTTTTGATAACTTCTTGGTGTTGCAGCTGGCCTTTTTTCTAGTCATTGGAAGACCACGGTTGGAATGAGTAAGTACAGATTTAAAATAGATGAAATCAAAGCACAAAAGTGGCTTCTGGGCTTGATGATGATCACAAAATGAACCAAGAATTGTTCCTAGGTGTAATTAACCTACATAACAAGCACCATCTCCAGAAACGAATCAGTTTCCCAATTGGGTCTCAATTATTGAAAATAATACAGTACAGTCTATCTTTCCTTTTACTGTTGGATCATGGTTCTCATCATTGTTACTTGACTGTAATGTCTAAATTTATTATTTTAATTCTAGGCATTTGGATTTCTTACACTGCCTAAGCATGAAGCATAAGTCTACGCTAAACTGCTAGAACATTCACTCGATTTTCTGTGTTCCTCCCGATAATTAGAAAGTCAGCAAATAAGAAAATACTTCCTTTTAAATGAGAAACTGAATATATTTACCTGTCTTCAACTGTCTTGTTGGAGGGGTAGAATACCTTGAATGAAAATCCACTTTTTGGAAATGAACCCTGTAAAGAAAAATGTATATACCGCACTTGTGTAAGTAAAATACCATACAAATAGTAAGAGATGCACTTGGATGTGACTGCACCCCCTTCTTATTTTGGTAAAGCGTAAGGAAATCTTACAGGATTTATGCAAAGACAGTCAGTGTTGGTGACAGTGAACGGGTCATATTTATCTGCAATGACGAGCATATCTGGCACAGGGTATACCCGCAGGGAATAGTCGTAGGCCCAGTACACGGGGCTAACGTACAGCGGAAGTGGCGTCAGATGTCCTTGAGATAATATAGTCTTTACAAACTGCAAGGTAAACATCGTTAGTTAGTTTGAGCCATTTTCTACAAGCCAAACTCATTCCCGCAGATGCTAATAATAAACACTAATAATAAAGAAGCTTTGAACCTGAAAATGTTTTTTTGTGTATCTCACTCCCTCTGATTATTAACGATTTCCAGAGTAAAGCAGCAACTCCCCCACAACAGTCAGCTGCTGGTTTGTTTGTTGTGTTGTCTGAGTTTTTTTTAATACACAAAGTCCTCTCTAAAACGGATCAGCCAACATTTGAAGATGTCAAAACTGTTTCATCAATCAGACTCTCCAACAAACCGCAGAATCTGCTTACCTGTTCCTCCAGCCCAGGAAGCACCAACATTGCCATAACTTTTATTTTGTGAGGTTTTTTTTCCCCCTCAGGGCTTTCCTCGCAGCACCAGTTAAACGCAAGACCCACACTTAAACACAGTCGTCTTCATGAACCAGGGAAATCATTTGATTCCCAAATGATTACGATTCCCTTGGCTGTTCTGGGAGTTGCCCTGCTCCAGACACCAGCTGCCCCCTTTCATTTGCTTTTTCATCTGGCAAATTCCAGCCAGGGTATTTTGGTTCCCGAAAATCTCTCCTCAAGCCCCTTGAAAGCTTTTATTATCTCTAATCAATCGCGTAGCTGCCATTAGGTTCCATTTTCCCCAAAGGGCCAAAATCACTACAGCGACTTGGTGGAAGGGTCTGCCATTGAAAGAAAATGATGTACGAAGCATAGGCCCAGTTGTCCCACTAACACTACGAGGCCTGAAGTCACTATTAATTCAATCTAATGTTAGTAACAAAATTTCCCTCGTTCATCTTTTTTACACTGATGGCTGAATTAAAAAACTAATGATAGGCAGAAAAGGCAGAGAAAAACTGAAGTATGCAAAAGCAACCCAATACTCTTATCTGCAGAAAGCGCTGCAATACATAATTCTGCATTTCCTTCGTGATTCCTTCCCTTCCAAGCTGAGAAAGCTGTGTATGAGTACAGGGAAGCAACGGCTTGCAGCGTGCACATACGCGTGCGCTAACGTGCGCACCAAAACCAAGGGGCATCAGTGTCCGCAATGGGTTCCCTGTGTTCACAAAGAAACTGAGTGCTGTCATGATGGAGCGAAGGAAGAAAGAGCTACAAGAGGTTTCAGAGTCAAACAAACAAACAAACAAAACCCTAGAAAATAAATAGAAACAGACTCCATCCAGCACTGCAATGAGCCAGTACTGCCTGGATCATTCTCATTCAATTATATCAGTAAGTCCCATCAACTCCTGCTGTGCATTCATTAACCAGAATCATAACTCGGAGTGCTGTGGCGATGTATCAAAAGCAGGATTAAGACTTGAAGTGAGAAGGCAGAAGCAGCAGATGACCTTTTGGAAAAGTGACGTGCTGCTTTACTGCAAATGTCACTGGTTAACTGATCAAATCTTAAAAAAAAGGTAATTTGTATTAAGCTTTGCCTTTAGCAATCAGTGTTTCTTGATACGACATTCATTGCCGGTGCACATACACCAAGAGTCAGCTGCTGCGATGTTCTGCGTTCAAGGGCACCTGGGGTGGGACAGGCAGAACGACGCAGTGCCATCAATCGGCATCATGCTTTCAGTTATTTTACTGTCAAGATGGAAATGAAGGTAATACTACTAAATGTATAAATCCTTCTTACAATCCCTCCTGGCTACTCTTGCAGCATGTTGTGAGAATGCTGATCGGAGCACCCTAAATGCAGACCCGCTGATCAAAAAAGAAGTCAAGATCCTAGCAAGAAGTGCTGAACACAACTCACTCACTCACATGGTTGGGAATATCCATGTTGCTGCTAGGGAAGTGGACACAGTTTCTGCACATTTTGTTTACTAGATCTTCACGAAAGATAATTATTTCTTGGGTGCAATATTGAATCCTAAATGGAAAACATTAAAGGAATTAAATAAATTGAGATTGAGATGAAACTGAAAGACAGGGAGCTGCATTATAAAGTTGATCTCCCTCTAATACAGCAAAATGAAAAAGCACATTTCAATTAAAATAATACTTTCCCATCTTCCCTTCGTTCTCTCCGGATTCAGAAAAAACACGATGTTTTTGATACTCACTCTCAAACTTTTAGCACTACTTCCTTTCATCACTAATTTATTTATGTATAAATGTATTTAAAACTAGTTGCAATTAATGCAAGTGAGGAATTCTAATAATCTGAAAAAATTAAGACACATTTTTCCAAAATTTGTAATTTTTTAAAATTACATCTGCACATAAATCAGTCATTCAGTAAAAAAAAACAAACATGAAAAATAGCAGTAAGTTACACTGTTACCTGCAAGGATTTGTGGTGAAAACTGAAAATGGCACCAGCTGTCTGAATTCCTCAGTAATATTTTCAGCCAGGGGAGGTCTAAAATAAATAGCAAGAGATGTATCAACCATGACTCTTACCTTCTTTAACTATTTAACTCAAAACTCCAAAATTTGAAAAAGTGAAGCAAACTGACCTTGGTAAAATAGAACCAGGACCAGGGTCTTCAGGGCCGGGAACAAACACAAATCGGCTACTGTAAAAAGTTCAATGTCTCACTTTTATACAAAACGATCCTAGAAGTTTCTGAACATTGGCTCTATACTGCCGTTACTCCGCAGACGCGTGCAAATAACCTATTCTGGGGCAGAGATGACAGCTCTTCCTGGCCTTATGAACCACATAAATCACAGCCAAGGCATAAGAAACATACCCACTCCTCACTAAAGTGGAAGAAACCTTAAAAACTGTTCACTGTGCAAGGGGGACTGACTGCAGGAAGGGAGACGGACCAGGCTGCGCAGCCTGGCTCAGGACGCAGCGGTAACGGGCTCCAGGATCTCATACGGGGACCCCAGATAATCCAGCGGCAACACGCCAAGAGAGCCCCACCGGGACACAGGACGGAGGATGAGTCCATGAGATACGCGTGCTTACAGCTCACACAGAGCTCCAGAGCTGCAGGCTGTGGCCTTTCCTGCTTTTCGGGCCATTTTGGGGGCCTAAGCTCTACTTAGGAGCTACTGTTACAAATTCAAAGATCAGAAGGCAGAAAAGATAAGCCTGGCTGTTTCCCTGTTTTACTTTCCTTTGTATATTCAAATCTCTGCAGAAGGGATTTAGTTCTCCAGGTCTGGAATGGGGCTCTCACAGAGCAGGGACACAAGAAAGGATAAATAAAAGACTCCTTCGCAGGATTGCTTTACTTCGGTTAGTTCTCAAACTAACAGCCGTGGAGAACCGTGTGTGCAAGAATGGAAAAGACAGACAGGAGATGCCTCCAGGTAGGCAGCAGTCAGTGTTTCAGATTACATTTTCCAGGGCTGGTACAGAAAGCCCATAGGTGCTCGCAGCAGCATCAAGACTTCAACATCAATTTATAAAGCAGCACTGGTTGGGCAGAACCCTGTTGGATTTCAAGGGAATTCCAGGGAAAAAAAGGGCTCACCCAAATAGCACTTTTGGGGAATCATGGGCCACGTTTAATCCGTGTGGAAAATGATCCAGGGAGAGGCACTTTCACCTTTGCTCTCTCAATAGCAGCTTCCATGACCAAGCAATTTGAGATAAAATCAAAACCTTACACCACTCCCAAAACAAACTTACAGGCCTGTTACAAGAACCAGCTTGCTATCTGATCACAGCTGGCTCACAATAGTGAGAAAATATGGTTATCTGTCAGTTTCTTCAAGTAATTAAAGCAAAGGTTTCACAAAATAAACAAATTTCCCTTTTCATAGCACTTTGCTGTGTACCTTTTATGAATGCTGGGATATTCACATATAATATCTGCAAGAGCCTTCAAAGAACCTGGAGTCAGGGAAAAGAAAAATATCTATGATACAACACCTGGTTAGACAATAAACACACATTATATGAATCACCCCTATACTTCAGTACATTAAAAAAATGTGCCACTTAGAAAATAAGGGTTTCTTTTTTGCTCTCTTAATTTGTTTTGCCATCATTAGTTTAATTTAATGTACATGTCCAACTGCATACAAAGACTTCCCCACCTTTCAGGGACTGAATTCGATTTTTTCCATACGGTGCAGACGAAAAATTTCCACAAAAGAAAAAGCAGGTTGGAGGTGCAGAGGAATAACCTGGGAAAACAGAGTGTCTGTGAGTATAACATCCATTCACTTCAGTATCTGTCACCATTCAGCCTCCGTTCTGTGAAAGGCAGAAACTGAAACAGCACTTCAAGCTCTGCTGCTATTAATACACCTGAACTATTTTCCTGATACAGGCTTTTCTTAGCTTAAAAAGGATGACGGCTATGTACAAATGTCACTTCAAGGGAGCCCTTTGTTATTTACAGGCCCAGTTCCGACAACATTGTTTGTGTGTATCCAACTAACTACTGACCCAGCCATATAATTACACAAAGTACAATTAAAATAAACAATACAATTTAAGAGCGGGCTCTTTCCTTAAAGAGAAAAATAGCAAGTAGGTAGCAATGGATTACTATTAACCTCCATGCATCATTCCAATTCAAGCGCTCTACTACCAACGTCTAATTCGCTCTTTGGCATGATAAAGCAACAGTAACTGCAATTGCCTGAGTATTTTAAGAATCCGACAAATCCCCACAATATCAGTAATCGCCCAGAAGCACATGCTTTATAACAAAGAGTGAAAAAAGAAACCCGATTCCCATCCCTAAAAGAAAAATAAAAACATCTACTCAGGCATTCATCTCATGCTCCAGGTTACTCTCCATTTTCCTAACATGCAGCACCAGACTTGGATTTACTTCACTATTTTTCAATCCAGTTGGTAAATAGGACAGAACTGTTTATACCAGAGAAATGGCTCATCAATGTTTTTTCCTTGCTATTCCGCTCAGCTATTATTTTTAGTTTATAATTATGAAGCTTATCACTTGCCTATTCAAAAAAAAAGTCTCAAAATAGTAAATGCAACGTATGCATCTTTGCCAGTTGAGTTCAGTATATTAACCTCGCTGACCAGAGTCCCTTCATCACTTCAGCATATGCAATCTTAGGTCAAGCCCAGTTTGCTTCAAGGATCTTGCCAACTTTGATCAAGATACTGGTTTCGTAACTTCTGGATGACTGTGGTAATTTGTGCCCAATTTTCTTTTAAGGGAGTAGCCGTTTCCCCCCCTTAATTTTATGTTGCTTATTTTTAAAGCAGCCACCCTCTCACACTTCCACCTAAGACAGACAGGACAAGCTGTTCCAAAACTGCTCTGGAATACAAAGAAGCAATTCACAGATCTCGCAGATGCTTGCTATCCAAATGTTGTCAACATTACTAATGTAATGATGCGTGGAAGAAACAGTTCATATTTTAAGAGTAACTGACATTTTTTCATTGGTAGAACCAGAATGCATTCGAGGGACTGCTGATCTCCGATGAAGTAAGACGTTTTCTTTAAACTAAGCCTAGGAAGAACTTGCACGAGCAAGGGAAACATTCTTGTCACAGCACATAAAATGGCTACTGTCCAAAACAATATTAGTACTAAGTGATTTATGAAATGGAAGTATCAGCTTGCAAAAATATCATACAATCCAATTTTTAAAACTGTTAGAGAAAGATCCAAAAGAAATATAATAGCAGCCATGAAATGCAAATAGCTGTCACTAAAATTAGAGTGAGACTTCACTGGCTTTGGGCTTGGGTTCAGTGGGATCCTACCAAAAAAATGCAACAGTTGGCTTTCTCAGAATGGAAGTTCATCAAAAATGCACAATACAGTGATAACAGGACTCTTGAAAATCGTTGCCTTTTTCGTTTAAAAGTATGCCTTTGAAAAGAAGGCACACAAAGCACTATTACACAGAAGAGCACATTTAGATCACAGTTTGACAATAAAGCTGGCCTAACACTTAGCAGATCCTAGACAGAACAGTCTTGCTGTCAGTTGTACGCTGTCCAGCTTCCCCTGCTTGGACAGGGATGCTCACGCAAGCGACCACACGATGAAGAGTTCACAAGCTAAACCAGCATAAAACTAATTCTCCAACAAAGGCAATTAGTTTTCTGCTGGGGTATTCCCTGAATTAGCTCCCCGTGGGGTCAGACTTCCCAGCCTGTGCCAAGGAGGGGACACAGCCGGGGACCAAGGACTAGGCAGCCATCAGACTGCCTTGCTGCGCTTGTCAGCTCCACCCATCGACGCTGCTAAGGACTAAGGAAAGTGGTAAAAATTCTCTAAAACAAGGCTCAGAGTCAAAGCAGTTGTCACCTACCTGAAAACATTGTGTGAAGCTTTTCCAGTACTTCTGCTTGGTCCAGCCACACATCAGAAAGAAATACAAACATGGCATCTTCATTTTCGTCCTCCAGCTGCTTTAGTTTTGCAGAAGCCTTTACTGAAGCTGAAGAAGGCCCTCCAAAGAAGTTTACATTCCCATAGAAGGCTCTACATCATTAAAATATTCAAGTTAGTTCTGTTTTCTTCCCAAATAGTTAGCAGTTGTGATTATGACTCATCTAAGCCATTTTAATTATTATTATGACAGGTAGCTCAGATGGTATCAATAATCATCCAGTACTTCAGAGAAATCAAGGAAGAGAAATGGCGGTCACCTGGATATAAAGCAGGGGCGCTGCCCTGCCACAATTTAACAGATCATCTCAGGGTAGTATTTATCCTTAGTTCTCTCCCCCATCCGTTCCTTGAGCAACAAGGAATTTCTTATCCTCATGTAATAGCTATCTAGTTTTGCAACTGAGAAGGGCTTAGATCCCAAATGTTATTACATGCAGAACCCAATGGCCTTAAGGGTTTTTCTGCTAACACTACAGGCTTTAGTACTGGTCCAAGTAGACCAGCAAGCCCCAGAACTGCTTCCTTAAAATTGTATCTATTTTGAAGCATTTGGGAAGGGGGAAGAATACCATACTTTAATGTCACAGAAATTGTAAAATAATAATGCGCTTACTTAGAAACCCATAACAAAATATGGAGCGAGGCTGCCGAAAAGTCAGTTTTATACCTAGTGGTAGCAGAAGGCTCAGTAGGCGGAAATCCAAAAGCGTTCACATGAAAAACTTCATCTTCATACCAACCTAAGAGATTTTTGAACAACAAAATAACCTTTAGTTTTTCTAACAACATCATGTCCTAGACATTAGTCAGACAGTTGGCAGCTGTGCTGCATAGCTAGTCCCAGCCTCCATCAATCCCTCTCTTGTGATAGCAGCAGGCCCTGTGCTGCTTAGTGGTGAACCAGACCAGGGAACTAACTGGCTGAGCAAGAAACCAACTATTTTTTTACCCCAGACACTTCTTTGAATGGATTTGCTGCACAGCCACATAAACAACCTTCTTGACCCAACCGAGTAAGAATGTAGGGGAACAGGAATCATTTTTGTTGGACCTGCCCCAGCAGAGTCTCCATCAAACTGCACCCTTTCTCAGGAACTGTCCCACCTGTTAAGAGGAATAGAAGGAACCGGGTGATACCTGTCCCCACTATCATTCTTGCTCTTGACTTCTATTTAGCTTATTTTACAGATTTTAAACATAAAATACATTATCAGAAAATAGACTGCAATTATGTATACTGCACAGAGTAATACCCTACAAACAGAAACGACCATAATTTTGCCAAAACATAGAATCATAGAATCACAGAATCATGGAATCGTTTAGGTTGGAAAAGACCTTTAAGATCATCCAGTCCAACCATTAACCTAACACTACCATGTCCAAGGCTTCAAAACTGCAAGCCCTTAATCATCTTAATGAGAAGACCCACCAAAGCCTCTGAAGGACCAAAGCTTTGCCAACAGAAAGCAGCATTTTCAGATTGTTAAATCATACTGCTCCGTTATTCTAGTCTGTCTTCCTAATCTAGTCATATCTCCTCCAAGCATGTTGAAGCCAGGCTAAGGCCAATCCTCAAAGCTGCTACAGATGCTCACATCCCACCGACATCGCTGAAAACCACAAATTTTGCAGAGCTCTGTCCTCTGCCTCCAGAGCCCACGTGGTAACAGGAAAGGCTTACAGCCAAAAATCTCAGTCACAAACTCAGCTTATGGTCAAGCCTCATCAACCTGAGACTTGTCTGTTCAGCCACATCTGGCAGACATGTAATTGCAGCAACAGCCATTAACAGAATAACTTATTACAAGCTAAAAAAAATAGTCTGCTTTACCTTCTGCCAAAACAAAGCACGATTCAGTATATAAACCACTGTGGAACTGGTGCAGAAAGGTTAAGAAATATGTTTTTCTTAGATCAGAACTCTTAATCTAGTCCTTGAGCCAAAGTTTGCTTTCCAGCTGGTGTAATACATTCAGACACTATTGAAAGTTCATAGGCTGCTTTAAGAGCTTGGCAATCACCTGGTCGCTGAGCAAGTAAGCTCATGAACAGCCAGCAAACGGGAACACGTTCTGCTTCCACTAGGAGGAATACTAACCTTGTCCCAACAGTCTCTGTGAAAGGGCACTGAGCTGCAGCAACTAAGTAATTTGGAAAGAACGAAAAAGACAGAGCTGCAAGTCTCAATACGTAATTTTTAATGGTCGGTATTGATTTACTATTCAATCTGAAATTCTCCAGGTCTATAGGAAATTCCTTCAACTCTTACATCACAGAAAAAGGATATTGCTTTACTAAGGTCTAGCTGGACGACTCCTGTAGGGTCTTCTAGGAAAAATTTCCCCTAAAAAACAGGATTCATTAAGAAAGTAAAATACACCCAAACACATAAATGCTTCAGTCAGAAGCATCTATCAGTCAGCATTTAGAAATAATTTAGCCAGTTTTAATATTGTAAGCTTAGAAGACACTGGTAGAACTGAAAACAATGTAGTTTATAGTAAGTCTATCTTAGCACCTTCCCTTTGAGCTGCCGCCGTTTGGATTGCCGGTGCACCCCTGCCCTACAATCACAGTCCAATGCAATGGCAAGTCCAAACACAGTTATTGGAAGCTCCGGCATTTCAAGAAGGGGCATGCCTAAAAAATGTAACTGGTTCTGGTTGCTGACATAAAGCATTACAAAATTCTATAGCGAGAAGACATTTTCCCTCACACACTAGCATCGACTGCTTGTGGAAAAGCCTCTTCTCGGGGAATGGATCTTGCACCGCCGACATTGATGCGAGTTCTGCCAATGACTTCTATGACAGGATAAAGTGGTGAGATATTTAAGCCTTCTCATTTTCTAATATATTATAACACTGAATGAATGGCGACCTAGATACTCCACAATAAAAAGCAACCCACCTCCTTGAGCTGAGTGATCATCCCAAGCACAATCACTTCTCCCACTTTAGCTGTATTGCCCAATAGAGTTTCTACTGTTTTAAGCTGGAACCAAAGGCAAAGAATCAAGTAAGAATTAAGTAAAATTCTCCATATATCTATTCTTAAGTAAGCAAGACAAAGCACCACACAGCGCATGTTTTTACATAAATACACAAATGAGCTATGGAGAATACAGGCTCATTAGAAAAATCAGGGACACGTTTCTGAATGTCAAATGTAGCACAGTTTAGGAAAAGATTTCCAATAATGGCTGCTAGCATAAGGAACAGCTTAGTAAGTAAATATTTATTTTGATTATTTTGCTCACAACTGGATTAAAACTGAAAAGAACAAGTGGCAATTTCTGCACTTGCCTAAGAATGTCAGTTGTAGTAACTGGATGCTCAGCAGGATCCAACCTGAACCACAGGGCCAGCCTGCACCCATACAGTAACATTAATTACTTTAATTGAAGAACCTTAGATGGATGACAGAGAACACTCCCGAGTAATGCAGGTGACATCGCATAGCATGCTGTCTGCAGTTTCTGGACAAACTTATTTTGGTCTGTCAAGCTGCAGTTAGACAATCTTCCTACGCCACCAGCATAAGCAATGCATTTGCCACTGCTGACAGGGAGGACGGGAATCAGTCAAGGGAATAAGATGCCTCTAAAGCCTGGATGGAGATGCAGGCTCAACTCAGCTAAGGTCAGCTGTTTTTTTCTACATGATGGCATGCTCTGAACAGGGAGAAGCAGGAAAGCTGAGCAAAGCAAAAGCTGTTATTTGGTACCCCGTGACACACACATGCACGTTCATCTCTTTCTTTAAAAATACATAATAACTGTATAATATAGGTAGAGCATTTAATATGAGAAAGCTGAGATGGGAACAGAACAGACGAAAGTTATGACCTTATTCCAAGCGTAGGTTTGTGCATTTAGTGCTTATGAAAGAAAGAGGCGGGGAAAATATCCGCAAGCAGAGGGAAGCAAAGTGTAATAAGCTGAACAGCTAATGCCCTTCCACCTCAGGAAGCCACGTTTCTTTTGCACTTCATAGCTGCTTTTGAGTGGCTTGGTCAGCATGCTGATCTGAGCCAAATACCTGCATTTTTGACACACAGGCTAAAAATGATCAAAAATAACTCATTTCCATTGATTACCCATGTTGTATGTAAAACTAAAATGTCACTGGAGAATGATTACTGCATTAAAGTGTAACACAAGTACAGTTCCCTTTGCAACAACAAAAACCACCCCCCCGATTTTTTACCTGGAATTTGCTCTTACTGTCATCAGGATGAGCAATGACTACTGAAGGAGTAAACAACTCATGTCTGTGAGTCCTCTGCAGAAACCAAAATTGAAGTAATCCAGTTTAAAAACAAATGAGCACTGTCAAAAAGCCAGTTCATTACGACCGCTATACAAAATACTTTAAAAAGTTCTCTATTTTATCCAGCAACATTTAATTTGTTGAGCATAATCAGTTCTTTTGACAAGAATTTGCTTCTAAGAAATAAGATGATCAGTAATACTGGACAATAAAACTAAGGCCAAAAAGTAACAGCAAAGCATCTGTAATGCTTTAAAAAGAAATTATTTCTGACTACCTGGAAGGAAGGGGTGAGAGAGCAAGGGAGGTAAACTGTATGAAATGCTAACTATGTGGAGAAGAGCAGGTTATCTCTTCGGGGCAGGGCCTATTAAAATAAGCAAATTTTTTTTTTTTTTACTAACAGGAGCAAGGTACACCAACAGATAAACTGCAGAGAGCAGGAAGAAAATAGATTGTACAAATTCTTACTACTTTCACTGTTTTTCATGCAGTCTGAAAGCCTCCCCGTGGAACAAACCCATCGCTACCAGCCCATGTAACACACATTAATACATAATCCCCTCTTAACGACATGATGTTAAAATGCAGAAACACACGAATCCATCATGCTGTATGGTGACAGTTGAGAAGACGGATAAACCTTAGTCCAGATCCTGTTCTTATTTAGATTCTATTTAAACCGTAGCTCACAAAAGCACCTCAGCACAAAGCACTGTTGTACGCGTAAGAATGTAACACCCAGCATTTTGTTTGTGTATTTTGTTAAACAAAGCAAAACTTTTTCTGACCTGTTGTAAGATGGAGTAGCGTTCACGAAACAACTCCGCTTTATCTCTGGCAGTTCCAAACAAATTTGGTACAGGGAAGTTGGTCATTGACAGACTGCAAGAAGTTTAACACAATCGAGATTAAAAAGGTACATTCCACACACGGAAATGACTTATTGATCTAAAAGTTGTAGGAGGCTGCAACAGCTATAACTCTACCGCAAAACTTAGTTAGTCAATGAGGAAGATTTCTGCTAGGGATCCTGTGTTTCTGCATTTTGAAGGCTACATCCATTTAATTTCCCTCTCACTCACAGGCCTTGAGATTTGTCTTCCCACTTCCCTAACGGGACTCCACAGAAATCAGTTTTTAAAAAAGCAGTTATGTCTTTTAAGTGGCCATGAACAATAGTATTTTCTTCCTCTTGGTTAGCAAATTGTCTTCATGGAGTTCTCTGCTTCCGATAGCCTGGAAAGCTAGGAAGCAGCACTGGAATTAAACTCCTACTGCAAACACCGACTGCTTTTGCTGGACTGGCAGAATCATGGACGAAGGCTAGAATATGAACTGCACGTTACATGAAGGTGGCTGCAACCCCTCGCAATGACCACCACTACCCATTCCTCAGCTAACACCACTTCATGCTTTTTAAAAGCACGGCCTCTTTTTGGCTCAGCAGTCTGGGCTGCTTGCTGTTAAAGGCAGATTCTTTAGCTGGCAAAATATTTACAACCAATTCCTCTGATTACTTCTTCCTTTCTCCAACTTCCAGAATCACCAGTTGCTCCTAATTTTTCTTTTTTAGCTTTTGTAGCTCTCCTTAGAAATCCCCCAGGGCTTCAGGGAGTTGCAAGCTACAGTCTAAGAAATAAATACATGCAACAGACAGACCAAATTTATTAGGAAAAAACTAAATGTGAAAAAAAAAAAAACCAAACCAAACTACATTTAGTGATGTATGCCCTTAGCCTTACTGTCTCTTTTCTTCATTAGATGGCATCAGCATGGTTGGACATTTTACTATCTGATAAACACCGAAGTTTCAGAGCCAGTAACATCATAGGCAGTACAGAACACACTGCCACAGGAGACACGGGTCCCTGTTTCAGCTTCATCCTACTGGACCAGGAAAACCCAATGGCACATTTATTTATGAGCCAGCATTTATCACAGAGTCTGACTAGCTCTTCAGAGACTAAGAAACAAAATTGTCTCACTTTCTCACTCAGGCTTGAGATGAGCAGACCCAAGAGGGAAAGATTAGAAAACAGAACAGACATTTAACCATAGAGAAATAGAGGCTTTTTTCTTAAAACCAGAAGTGGTTGAAACTTAAAATATGCAAGACTTACGGTAGAAACTTCTTTCTTTCTGAATTATAAATAAAACGTGGAATATCAAAGGCTCCAATAATGTTGAAAACATTTTCTCTGAAATAAGAATACGTTTAGAACATTATCTGAAGTGGATGAAACAAACAGTAACAAAACACGTTGAATAAAATTATATCCATTTTGTTCACTATCACCCTGCGTTATCACCGCTTCTCCCGCATCACTCTACCTATCGGATACTACTGCATCTTCTAATTCAAAAAAGGAAACTCTTCAGAAGTTCATTTAGAAATGAGAGAGGGATACATCTCCTTCCCTTACCAGCCTCAGCTATCTTTTCTGACAACAGAACAGCCTTGGCGTGGTTAATGTGAATAGGTTTAAACAATGGACATGCACAACTCTTCAGACTATTAATCAGAGAATCATAGAATCACAGAATTCATTTAGGTTGGAAAAGACCTTTAAGATCATCAAGTCCAACCATTAGCCTAACACTACCAAGTCCACCCTCAACCAATTAAGGGTAATTAATCAAGTTGATACATCCCATTATATTTACTGGTTCAGCTCCCTCCTCCAATGCCTCTCATTTCCCTCTTACTGTAAGTGGATCGAATTCATCAGAGCAGATAAAATTATCCCGTGAACCTTCACTAAGGCTTACAAGCACAGGACAACCATCATTGCCCATCAGACACTCATGTCTTAGGCTTCAGAGTGCATTTCTTACAAAACTTTGCCTTCAAGCTTTCTGCAACATAATTCGAGAGAGTTGTACAGGCTGGCCCTCTGATCTCTAGAGCTTTTCCCTTCAGGACTCTGTACTGAGAATCTGTGCATACAGATTTCTCTTCACTTCTGGAGCAAAAAATACATTAAGTATATAAAGCGACACAAAGAAAAGTCACACTAAACCACCTGCATCATAAAGGTTCCGACAACAAGGAGAAAAGTATAAAACAAATTTGCTTCATATTGAGAAACTGTGGGATCACGGTATCTAATTGACATGCCTAGCAAACATTTTCATGCTTTGCATTACGATGTCAATACACAACATAAACACTAAAGGAAACACATTCATCACAATCACAAATAAAGTTCTCAGAAACTCAAGTAATTGCTCTCTGCTTTGTGATCAGAGAGTGAAAATCAATCACGGTTTTCAAAAAACAGCCCTGCTATACAAAAAAGCAGAAACAAGCACCACGGAGAAAAACACTTCCAAGTGCTTTCAGAAAAGAAGTATCTTACAAAAGGCACAATAACCTCAGATAATTTTGAGCTAGAGTAAAGGAAATAAAGAAATGAACAGAACTAACAAGTTCTCTCTGCATTGTAACTATTGGTTTATTTTATTGGTTAATATTCAACCTGTATCACGTGACACATAACCATAGCATTTTAATTCCAGAATGTCAGCATTATATTTAGAATCCCCTGGAGGCCTATCCATGAGAACAAATTTTCTAAGAAGGAACGTTACTAACCTTCAAAGACAGTACCAGGAAGACAAAAGCACAAAGCAATTACTGCATGTGCAGCACTGCAGAAAATGCCTGACATTTATTTCCCAAGAAGAAATAAGGGAATGCATACCAACTCCCATAAACCTCAAATAAAAAAAATAATGTCACCGTACATAGTTTCATCTGATGCCTGGCTACATTCTTGGATGGCTGCTTCCACTGTGGATTGTTCAATCATATTAGATGACACTGAAAAGAAAAATTTGAAGGATTAAAATGGCAGCCTATGGAAAGTAGTAAGAAAGAAAGTAGGTCTCAAATATTTTACAAAAACCAGTTCGGTCTTCTCAGAGGAATATATTACACTAATAAGCATATTTTCAGTAAACTAATGACACACGCTGTCTTCTCTTTACAAATGGATCACTTAATATTCTTACCAGAATGATACATCTCCAGCAAAAAAATAACCCACACACATACTGTGCCCACCATTAATTCACTAAACATGGAGAACAAGACAATTATAGTTTATGCAAAGCTGCCAAATATACTACAAATGTGTTAGAACTGAGCTTTCACATTCTGGAGGTTAATTTTGTTCCAGAACATTATCACACAGATTGCTGTCATACATAAGTATTCAAACAGTTTAACACAATTTTGGAGATAGGCACATTGTTGTCTTCATGGATTTAAACTGATAATTGAAATTGAAAAATATTTCTAAACACCAATGTTTTGCTGAATTTAAAGGGAAGACCAATCAATGCAGATTCACAAGAGGACTTGGTCAGCATTGCCAAGCCTGGAACAGAAACCAGTACATGAAAACCTGCCCTTGAGCTCCCGTTTCAGGGCATGGGACTTAAAATCACAGTTCCTGTAAGACAGTGATGAATAGCAGAGCAAAAGGGGCACTAAGGGAGCTAGCAGGAATCACAGGAGAGACCAGCATGTCTGAATTGCATCTCTACCCCTAACCTCAAACAACTCACAGATGCTAGCTGGACAGTATGGGAATTTATAGCACAAAATTCTGCCCTGGACAAAGACCGGTGTTGGCGAGTGCACTGACTGCACGTACTACATTGGCCCTAGAGTTTTTTGTACAGACTCAGATTTGTTCAAAAACGCGGATGCGTTAATTTGTACCAGCAGGCTTTATGTTAGATCAGGACCAGTTCTTCAAACTGCTTTTACTCCCTGTTTGATCAGCTATGATCTGTTATGCCACGGCTACAGTAAAAATATAAGGCCGTAACTTCTGTAGTCTGTGCTCTAGTAAAACTACAAAGCAAGCATGTGCCCACCCTCGATTTAATTCGGTTTAAACAGGATAGGCTCGGAAGGTTTCCTGAACTCATCAAGGCCTAGTATTTCTTTTAGATCACATTTATATGGATTTTAATCCCTTCGGCCAAAAACTGGAAGTGAGCCCAAGTTTCCTAGTTCTCACGAGCTCTGATCAGTAAACACGCATGTCTCAGTCATCGGTGCGACCTCCATCAATCACATTTTTTAACTAAATGTGCTACAACTCCTATGTTTTGTGCTGCCATACTGTGTCAGGTATATTTTGAGCTACTACTGCATGCCTTTCACGCTGCTTAGGAGCAGGGACACTGGGTCTCCATACCCCAGCACACAGTGTCCCAATTAAGCAGGAGGCAGTCCCCAGACAAAACACTCTGGCCAAGATGATGGAGTTCCAGGCATGCTCAGAACCAAACGGGTTGTGAGAACTTTACCAGGAAAAGCTCAACACTTTGAGTGTCTCATGTTTTTATGGGATTTTCCAGGAGTTCTCTGGATTGCACTGCTGGACTTAGAGAATTTGATGTACTTTCACAGGCCAAGCAGGTACAGCTTCTCCAGTGCCCCAACTGTTATCAGCACCTTTTGGCCAAAGCTCCTACCACGAGATCAGGCTGGCGTAACAGAACATCAGCATCTGCCTTGCTGCTTCAGAGAACATCCAGGTGACAGTTAAATTCCGTCCACAGTTGGTTTAAGTTCATATGCTGGACCACTATACGGGTGCACTTGCATCTCCCACTCCACTTGGATGTGAGGGCAGTGATCCCTGAAGGAAGGAATGCAAGTGTTTCCTTCCCGCAGTGACAGCTAGGCTCCTCAGATTATAGCTGTCAACAACCCTTAACCCTTTTCTGGACCTGGACTACTGAATGACGAGTGAATTCATTTCTCATTATTTCTTTGGTTTATTTTAATATTTAAAATGATAGTTTCAGGTGCAAAGATGTCCACACAAACTCAGCTAGGTGCTTTTAGTAACCGGCATTGAAAAATTTCACTACTCTTGGAAAAGTCAAGAGGTACCAGGCTGCCAACTTTTTAAATGGCAAAATTATACTATCTTTGGCCAACATTACACATTTCAGTATTTAACAAAATGTCAACAAATACATTTATCTTGATCAACCCCATAGACTAGAATGACACGCTAGCGCATATGCTGCCAGCGACTGTGTCTTTGTCTAAGTAACATTAGAAGCGCAACATAAACTTAGCAAACTTAAGAAAAAAAAAAATTGGTTACTTACAAGGCTGTTTTTCAACGGCATCGATGACATTTTCAATTACATTGTCAAGTTCTACTTCACTGATGGACTGAAGAGCTTCAGTAAGATACTTCAGAGCATCCCTAATTCCAATGAAGAAAGTCAGCTCAAAAAGCAATTAATATTCAATACAGTTTATACAAACGATGCCAATTTTGGCAGATGTGCACATAATGACTAAACAGCTTGTGATTAAAAAAGTAGAAATAATTAGTACTGCATAATACTGCACTATTTTAAGTCAAATTAGAAAAAATCATCAGGATTGAGAACATCGAGGACAAGGAGCAGGTACAGAGAACCTCATCTTCATACAATCACAGAAAGACGCATGTCAGAAGGGACCTCTAAGGTCTCCTGGTCCAGCTTTCTGCTCTAATAGCACAGGCCAGACACATCGCTCACAGCGCTGTTCAGTCAAATTCTGAACACCTCCGAGGATGGAGATCTCACAGCCTCTCTCGGCCCTGTCCTGGTGCTTAACTACTCTCCTTGTGAATAACTTTTTCATAGGATTACAGAAAAGCCCACGTTAGGAGGGATCTCTGGAGACCATCTGGTCCAACCTTCTACTGAAAGCAGGGACTTAGATTACACCACCCAGGGCCCCATCAAGCCAAGTCTTGAGTATTTCCAGTGAGGGACATTCTACCACTTCTCTAGTCAACCTACTCCAAAGTTTAATTGTTCTTACAGTGAAGATTTTATTTTGAGCTTGTGCCCATTGCCTCTTGCCCCGTCACTGTGCATCCTCAAAAAGAAAGTACTTCTGTCTTCTCTATAACCACCTTTTAGGAAGACTGGGATTAGATCCTCCTGAGCCTTTCCTTCTTGAGGCTGAATAAACCCAAATCCTTCGCATTTCTTCCACGTCAAGTTCTCCAACCCTCTAATCATCTTGGTGGTCCTCCGCTAGACCCTCTCCATTTTTTTAATGTCTCTCTTGGACTGAGGAGATTAGAACTAGACAACTGGGATTTCTTCTGTTCCAACCTGTGCTTGCTGCCTCTCACCTCTCTCTGTGCACTGGCTGCTTCTCGCTAAGTCCCCGTTAGGCAGCTGGATCATCTTCACCCTCTTTTTTGCAGACTGAGCAAAACCAGCTCTTCCTGCTCCCCTCACACACCACGAGCTCCAGCCCGTGACCACCTCAACAGCTCTCTGCAGGACCCACTCCAGTTTATCAGCATATCTGAGACTGGAATTATTTTAATTCTAAATGACACAAGAATTAGAAATCCACTTCTTCCCTCATCCTTAGACTACAATCTCACAGTTAAACAAAACAATTTTCTTATTAACGTCATCTGTCGCCCAAACAAAACTGGCATTTTGGTTAACAGCCTGACCTTCAAAATGTCTCAGTTCATTTAACTGTGGGAGTCAGGAGCTCTGAACTTGGACTCCTCGCTAATGAAACTGCCAGGACATTGTCCAAAATAATCACATCCCATCCATGCCAGAAACAAAATGGAACTAATATTCACGTACAATCTTGAAAGGAAAAATAAGAGCAACGGAGCCCCAGGCGCTCTTATAAATTATGACACCTTCCACTGCAAGCAGAAACCACTTTTCTTTGACCTTGCAATCTCACACTAACACAGGTTATGATGTACCTTGGGAAACACCGTTTCTTCCTCTAGGAAGAGATGCTGGACACAGAACTGGCAAGTGCAACTCGGGAAAGAGATCCCAGAGTTATCCAGGACAGCGGCAGACAAAACCAAACCAACCAACCATCCCGCAGCACCATCGCACAGGGTGCCAAGGGG